CTTGAGCCTGCTTAATGCCCCTAGTTGGGGGCTGCAAGGCAAAAGAGATTGTAAAAAGTAAAACTGCAGTATAGCAGTTAAAAAATGTCAAGGTGTAATCAATTAGACATCTGTCTGAAAAACTTCCTATATATATATATGTAAGGTAAAAAAGGATATATGCAATGTTGTCTTCCTTTTAGATATCAAAAGGGTTTTGCAGCTCCCAGTGTTTTGTTTTTGATGGGAAACGGGTCCAAGTGGCTCTTTGAGTGTTTTTTACTGTCATCTTATGGTCTTACGGATTTCTACAGAACAGGTAGTCCTCAACCTATGACTGTAATTGAGTCTGGAATTACGGTTATAAGACATTAAGTGAGTCACCACATGACCAGACCCAAATGTACATTTTTTGCAGAGGTCATAAAGCGAACATGGCAAAAGCTGCGTCTATTAGGCAAATCCATTTTACCCAATGGCATTCCCCCTCCCAAAACTGCAAGTTTAACGCCAGAAACTGGCAAAAAACGTCAAAAATTTTAAAGATTAAACCACTTGCCAAATGCGATCGCATGACTGCAAGATGTATGTGTTGGACTTACTAAGTGGCTTTTTTGGGGGGGGGGGGTCCCACCATAACTTAGAACAGTCGCTTAAGTGTAAATTATTTGTATCCCTCAAGAAGATACTAAGGTAGGTGCATTTCCCAGGGAGCTCACCAAGGCAAGAAGACTTTTCTCAAACTTGAGGGTCAATTCTCTATTAAATCGTCCGCCCATGAGGCTGGTCACTTCATGGAGAGAATACCACTCAGGGTAATTCTTCACATAACCCATACGAGCGCTCAGAAAATCCTCAAGAAAAGAGAAAAAAGACTATTTTTTAAACGTGTCTTGAAATGTTTATATTTCTCCATCATGAAGCAGCTTCTGCATAGAACACATTTCTTTTCCGTTTTCTTTAAATTAACCGATCTATGAAAAACCCAACAATTTACCATTATTTTAGAAGCAGAGGGCTCCTCTATTCCTGGAAAAGGTAGCACAGCCATCTTTTAATATTACCTTGGTGTAAATCAATGCGTCTTCAGAGATGTCACTGTAATCTTTAGAACAGTTTCTAGCAGCGTTCTGGGCGAATTTCAAGAATTCTGCAACTTCTTTGCTGACAAATTCTTTCATTTGCTGTAAAACATGCAATGGTGGTAATTTTTCAGTCCCAATTCTCTTAGACATTTGCTATTACACTATCTCCATAACAGACTAGAAAAAAAGGAAAAAAGATACGAAGCACTTACCAGATACTGTGTGTAATTCCTTTGCTGAGACCAGTGCAAGAGGTTTGGGTCGGCATTTAAATATTCAGACAAAAGAAATAAGTATCTTCTTTGCTCTTTCTCAGACAGGCTGGAAACATAAGGGTAGGGGACCCTGGGCTCCTGGGGAGGGGGGGCCACAAGAGGCTCGGCTTTCACTCTAGTCCGTTGGCCAGGCTGCTGCTTCTTTTTGGGTCCCGAGCTTGACACAGCCACTTTCTTCTCCGAGTGCCTGAAACAGACAGAGCCACCTTCGGCTGTAGGCAAGCCATCTCAATTCCCGTCCAACCAGGAGCAAGTTGCACACAGTTATTACAGAGAGTCCCCGACTTACAACCACAAATGAGCCCAAAATTTCCATTGCTAAGCGAGACATTTGTTAAGTGATTTCGCCACATTTTATAACCTTTCTTGCCACCGTTAAGTGAAACACTGCAGGTTAAATTAGTAACACGGTTAAGTGAACCTGGCTTCCCCACTGACTTTGCTTGTCATAAGGTCATAAATGTGAGCCAGTTGCCAAGCGTCTGGATTTTGATCCCATGTCCATAGGGATGCTGCAATTGTTGTAAGTGTGAAAAATTGTCACAAGTCACTTTTTTAGCGCCGTTGTTCTTTGAACGGCCACTAAATGAACTTTGATGACTACTTGTACATAGTTCTGACACTGATTTTTCTTTTTCATTCTGGCCAAAACAGGCAAGGCATCTTCGGATTCACTCCCCCAACCTTAAAGACGGCATTTACTTAGAAGGAAAAATGCACGGGCTGATGTTTTAGTTACAGATGTGAACCACTGGTTTGGACAATCTTCTTAACTCCCTTTTATTTACCTTTGAAATCTCGCCTACATCGTGATGTATTCCTGCCCTCAGACAAGAACATTTGAGTTCAGTACAAACGGCTGGCAGGAAACAGGGATGACCCTACGGCCGTTGAGGAGCAGGTACAAGTAACATTAAAAAGTCCTTTTCTTCCAGCAGCCCAAACCACTTCCCATCATTCTTCAAACTCTTTTCAGCATATCTTGACATCTGATGGGATGCTCTGAGTGTGTGGGTTTGTGAGTGTGTGAATCTTCTAAAGCCGCTGTAATTGCAAAGAATTCGCTTTGTGATTCTGTGCATCCTGCACACTTCCTGAGGAGTCATGACTGGTCCCACAAGCTCCAGCCCTCAATGTGCAACGGGCTCGCTCTGCGTTTCGACTCGGCCAAACCCATGATAAAGTCACGGGCACATTTGGGATGAACTAAGTGAAGCCTTAATGCTGACCTAGTCAAAAAGAAAATCTTGAATTGCGTCCCAGGAAAGGTCTCGGCAGCATCGTCTCTACAGCTCTTAATAACACCACCAGGCCGTCTCTCGGAATGAGGGAACGTGTCCATCCGCCTGGTACAAACTGGCAAATTTAATTAAGCCGTTCTCCGAAGGAGATGCTAGCCAGGCTCAGCAAGCAGAAGAGTCAAGTAACTTGAGCAGCTTAAATTAGCGCCTTTGATGGAGAAGGGGGAAGCGGCCCATCAGGAGAGGTCAGCAGCTGGGGGGGGGGAAGTCCAAGCCCCCCCCTCCCCAGAATGAAAGCCAAAGTTGGCCTTTGCTGCCTCTTTCCCACTGCATCACCAGCTGGGGTCTTATTTAAAGCCCTCCTTAATTCAAGGGAGAAAAGATCTTGGAAAAGAGGAACAAACACCTGGAGGAGATGATTTAGGAAAGCATTAAGCATGGACTAATACAGTGGTTCTCAACCTGTGGGTCGGGACCCCATTTGGGGTCAAATGACCATTTCACGGGGGTCACCAAACCATGCTGTCCGCCATTTTTTTCCCTTTTCCCTAGCTGTCCTACTCCCTCTTATTGGTGGCCACACCCACTTGGGGGTCACCACAACATGGGGAACTGTATTATGGGATCACGGCATTAGAAAGGTTGAGAATCACTGGACTAATACCTTTCTGATAATGACATTAGTTCGGAGAGGGTTGGAGCCAGAGAGTATTTCTCATAAAGATCTCGCGAGAAATACACATCATGACCATTCTGAGGCGGGGTGTCCCTAGGGTGGAAGGAAAAAGAAAACAGTCACATTTATAAAAAATTTAACAGCATCAAAAGTACGTCAAGATAAGATAAGCTTTATTGTCATTTTTTTTTTACTGTGGGCACAACATCACACATCAAAAATGAAATTTAGTTTAGTCAAATTTAGTCAAAATAAGAAGGGTGAATTTTTGACTGGCAGGAGAGGTCAGCCAATGATCCTGGATTGATCTGATATCCCATTTTTTAGACTGCCCCACTCCAAAATAAAGAAGATATCAATAAATAAAATTATTTTTAGATACAATGTATGTCTTGGAATAGGGCTGTATTAAAAAAAACAAGGGGGGTAATTCATCAATTACCGGGGAGGATGGGAAGTATAGTCTGACCATAGGGGAAGGCGGGTTTTTTGGGGGGGAGGGGAGATGAGGGTTTACGTCCCCCTCCCCCAAAAATGCATTTAATGGTGTTGACACAAAATATATTTATTTAAAAAAGGTGTCCTTCCCTTCGGGCACGATCCGTTTCCAGCTTCTGTGGCTCTCTAGAGCTGGGGCTAAAGGAGGGGCTAAAGCTGGGGCTAAAGGAGGGAGCACTCTGTACATGCCCAGAGGCTCGCTTTCCTCCCCGTCCCCGCGCAGCTCAGGGGGTCTGGGTCCACAAGGCATGTCAGGGCACGGTCCTGCTCCCTCCCACCACAACCCGCAAAGGCCCCCGGCGGCCCTCGACGGAGCCCCGCGGTCCCACTTACCAGCGCAGTGTCATCCAACCGGGAACCGCCATCTTGAGCCTGGCCCGCCGCCACTTGCCTTGCGTCTACCCGTCCTGGTGGCAAGTGTCAGCAAGCCCCGCCCAAGCTCCCGGAATGACCAATCCACGGAGTGGACCTCGCCGCGGATCCCCGCCCGGGAAGCAAACTGACCAATCAGAGGAACGACGTGTACAGAGAAACTTGACGCCGTCTTGCGTGGGGCGGAATGTCCGCCCCTTTTCAGCAATCGTTTCGAATGGGAAGCAAATAACGTGGGTTTTTCTTCCACGCGGATCAATAAATATGGGCTTGCAGATTTAGGAATAAATCTGAATCTTTGGCATTAGCACCTTCGAAATAGCAAGAAAATCAGATTGCAATAGCAATAAATAGCATCCTGCTAGAAGTCACCTGGACTGTCTCAACCTTGGCAACTTTGAAAATGGGTGGACTTCAATTCCCAGAATTCCCCAGCCAGCCAGCTTTGCTTTGCTTTGCTTTGCTGGCTGGGATATTTTGGCAGTTGAAGTCCACCCATTTTCAAAGTTGCCAAGGTTGAAAAACACTGACCAGGAATCTGTGCCAATGATAAAACTCACCTGATTCCCCCTCTACTCCCAAAGTGGTCTCTCGAACTCCCTGGCGATTGAACTGTAAATCAGTTGTAAATAAAAGTGTCTGAATTGACACACGAAATGTATACTTAGTTTTTCCTCCAGTTTTCCTAAGGACAACCTTGCAGTTCAGACTGGGCTGAGCATTAAATTGCCCCATGAGCTACCTGGGTGGAAATAGACCAGAACCTGATTCTCAAGCACGTTCAACTTGGGAAACCTCAGAACCAAAAAGGCAAAGTTTTAGGCATTGAGGATTGGCTGAAATGGTACAGGGTCTCCTGCCTGAACAGGGGGTTGGACTAGAAGACCTCCAAGATCCCTTCCAACTCTGTTCTTCTTTTCTTCTGCCCTTCATTTCTTCTGAACCCCCCCCCCCCACACACACACACCACCAATCAGGTTCTGGTGGTGGAACTTGTTTGGAAACCCCCCCCCCCCATCAAAACCTCATTTCCATTTTTTTTATCACCATTCAGTCCAGAATCACTGTACCATTCTGTCAGTGGGGACTTTGCTCGAACCCTTAGGAAAATCCACTAAGACACACAGGAAAAAAAAGAAGAGGACAAAGATTCCCATTAGAAGCTGAAGTTTTATTACAGGAAACCAGTACATAAAGCACATCTAAAATTGATGTGTTCAATGCACTTAATAAAGGTAATGTAATATTAAAGGTACAGGTTCTAAGTACAATATAACAACATTCATATTAGAATGAAAATCAGAGTATTTAAAAGACAACATTAAATCTCTTATTTTTTACAATTGTATTTACAAAATGAGTCAAAATACTTTATTCAGGATTAGGATAAAACTGCTTGCGCCTAAGCTGTCAGGTGTAGGAGTGAATTCTAAAGAAAATCTGATTGCAGTGAAAAAAATTAGGTCATAACAGGGCAAAGACCATTAGTATTTTATTACAATATTACTTTTAATATTCATCTCAATGGCTTATACTTTTTTATAACTAGAAAAATGGACTTATATATACTGTACACAAAAGACCACATGTTTTTGCATGTCCAGTACAGATTCATGTCAATTTGTAGGTATTTACAAAAGACTGAGCATTTCTCTCAGTGAGGTTGGTGATGTATATGTGCTTAATTCTCAGACCAATACATATTTATAATCAGCATTTATTATTTCTCAGACACTATGAGAAACATTACTTGCACAGACTTGCATAATTTATAAAACAATGAAGCCCAAACAATTAGGGATTGGTATAAAGGATGTGAAACATGGATTACACAAGTAAGAGGATCTCTGATTAAAAAGTGACCTGGACCGATAAGGGAATGAACTGTAATAATGGACTTGCATCTTTTAAAGAAGATTATATGTTTAAGAAAACCTGATCAACTATTATGGATGAAGTAAATGTACGTAAGCTTATTAAAATGTAGCCAGGGTGCAGATACATTTTGATTTTTTTTTTCACCCCAGAATAATGACTGGTGTATTAAATCAAAAACAGAAGCAGTGCATGGAGCTGGGACTTTAAGAGTCACTATCCTCTGTTATCAAAAAGAGTGGTAAACAAACAGCTTCTTAAATTCCTCAAAAATGTTTGTTAAAGATTTTATAACCAGTTAATAGTCCATAAAAGAGTCATAATAAATATTTCAAAATGTATTCCACATTTTAGATATTTGATATCCATTATTGCTAAAAGAATACTGGTCCTATTTTTTTTTTTTTATACTGCCAATCTCAGGTGGTGGTGGTGAATTCCAGTGCCAGCTTTTGTTCAGAATTAGACCTGTCACTTGCAATGCCGTGGAGAACCTAGATTTGCATTTTCCATTTTGCATTACCCTTATCTAGACTTACAGTAAACACACATTGGTGAATGGATGGGTGAATGCCCAGGACAGGAACAGAAAGGAATTGATCAGCAGCTTTATAGTATTTGTTCATTTTGCTCAGCATGTGTTGGTTTATCAGGTAATCATGCTTACAGTGTCCTTCTATGCAGATCTACTCACAACTTACTCATGGTAAGTTCAGTGAAACTTTTTCTTGAATAAATGAGGTGGAGAATCTGCACTTATTTCCTTGGGAGGAAACATTCATTGATTCAGGAAGCAGTTGCACTCAATCAAACTTACAGGGGCTTGGAAGCTCTAGGGAGAAAGATCTGATGGTCTTTGTCCATCATCTAGAGTTACTTTGGGTGAGGTGGGCAGCCATGTTAATGCAATTAATAGATAAATTTGGACAAGAGTCCACCAGGGAGGTTCAGAGCGGTGGCCAGACAGAGATGTTTTTAAGGAAATTAAAGAAGGTAATGACAAAACCTTTCAGTGTGGTCAACAAGAAAATGCCTGCCCACTTCCACAGAATTGCCAGAAATTGAATTTGGGTCAAGGGTCTTGAGGAGCACTGAGCTAGGAGTCCCACAGAGGATGTATGAGGTTCAGGTTTTCACAAGTTTGAAGGTCTAGTAAGTGCCCTTAGTGCAATATTCATGGGGCATTCCTTATTGGGTTTACAGAGAATAGCTCATAAAAAGGTGTAGGGCGGTTATTCACTGTTTGGCTTGGAAGCTCTGGATTCCAGTAGCAGTTTGAGACCATGGTGGACACGTTTTAACTAGGAGACCCTGCCCCACCAAGGATGGTAATATTCTCACTCACTGAGAAAGCCTACCCAGACACTCCAAATGTGCTTGTGCTGGTAAGTTCTAGCTCAATGCACAAGAAGTCTTAGACATCTAGATTTTATTGGAGGACTAAGTCCATGTTCTGGTTCAACATGGACTCTTGGTATCACTCAGGCCATAACTTCCCCATGCTGGCTGGGGAATTCTGGGGGTTAAAGTCCACAGGTCTTTAAGTTGCCAAGGATGGACACCCCTACTTTAGATTTTAAGGATGTAATTAAAATTGGCCCACCAGATTCTGGAACTGCAAGTTCAGCTGGGTTTTTCTGGACAATATTTTTAAAACTAAAGTTGTCCTATGGGTCACCTATTGATTCCAGGACTCTCTAATTATATCATTAGAGCTTTGCAGTTCTCCAAATCTGCTTCTTTTAGTCCTGTGAGTATTTCAGAGCAGGGCAATTTCGAATTAAACCCAGATGTTTTGAACAGCTGTTTTCAAAAGATTGGCAAAAAAAAAAAAAAAAATCAGCCCAAATGATGGTGAATCCCTGGCATTGCAAGAACGTAATTAGGCAGGTAAAAAGAAGAGAGGAAACACCATATTGGATATCAAATATACCAAGGAGTTAAGTTCCTCCTGATTAAATATACGAGAGACAACTTTATAGAATTATATTATATATTTGAAGAGAAAACCACGATCCCAATTAATACTCTGATGCAGGTAATTCATTGGGCACATGTGTAGGTGTGTATAAGGTCTATACGCACCTACACACACACACACACACACACACACACATAAATATTCCATGAAATATTTGTACGAGATCAAGTGTGGTATTGCCTAGGAATAAAACAGGGGAAGGGGTGTTTTTTGTCAAATTAACTTCTCTAGCACCACACATCCAAAAAACACAAAAGAACAGACGCTAGTTCTAAACATCTATTTCTAAAATAGAGTATATAGTAAAACAGATATTATACAGAATAATGTGGTATTTGATAAACAGATAAATATTTGCACTGCGTAGGCTTTTCTTTTTTAAATAGTATATCTTTTTATCTATAGAGAATGAACGCAAAGTAGTTATAACCATACGGGAGGTGAGCAGAACCACACGGAACAGTTAAGTAGGACTCAGAAGCTGAGACACAAAGAATGACATAACAAACCAAGCTAGAGAAAATGTATACAGGCCATTACAAGTCCTTAAATTAGTAGCAAAATAAGGAGTTGGTTGATCAAGTTTAAGAAAGCAGTAAACAAGAGATTTTGCATTTACATGCAGATGTCTACAATTGGTATGTCTTTAAATCTATGCACAAAAATCATTGTTTTATTGCTTGACATTCAGTTATGGCTAGAGTATTTTTTTTTAACCTTTATTGTGTACTTTGGAAATAAGAATATTGTTAAAGGTGCCATAAAATGGACCGCACGGAAAACAATTTGCAAATAAACCACCTACCACTGCAATTCTTCTTACATGTTTTTTTTTTTTAAAAAAAGCCTTGTCTGGGGTTTGTTAAATACGTTAAATATATTCCAAGTGGGAAAAATACTTCATCGCTTGAAGCCTCCCGTGGGCTCAAACATCCATACAAAAAACGCATCTCCACAAAAAAGGAGCAGGCAGACAGTACGATTTACACAGAGAGAAGCAGCCAGCTAATGTCCTATAGTCATCAAAAGAGGGACCACTGGAGGTTTTTTGTCTTTTTCTTACAAATTTTTTTGTCGCGTCAAAATAGAAAATTTTGGAATTAGGAAAATATATATATACAGTACCTCTGTGGTTTGTGAAATAAAATTCACGATATTGCTTATGAATTTTCTGCATTTTGAGAGGATAACACATGATTGTAGGATCCTGTGCATTTATGCATCTTCAATAATGAGGCGTAACGCTGAGGGAGGGGTGAAAGAGGGATATATTCTGAATTTCAAAATCAACGAGATGAACTTCTAAGAGTAATTAAATACGTACCCTAACGATAGACTCTAAAATCTGAATGTAAATAACAATTCTTCACTTGGAGATTCAAAATGCACAGGAGCTGAGGATTTCATTTTTGGATTCAGTCGGTTTATTGCTCTGAAGAGTTAAGATTACGCCCTGCTACCCATAAAAATCCAATCGGTGGATTTATTTATTGATATAAAGTAATGATAGGTTACAGCTTATTTTATTTCTAGAGCTTCTGGTATCTAATTTTATTAAAGCAACTGCAGGACTTAGCTAATGCCCACCTATAAACATGATATGCCCATATTCCTCGATGAGTTGGCATTAGAATGGGTGATCACAAGCCAAACAAGAGTAAAATAAATGATGAAAACTAAGGATGTCCCAATAACTTTTGAGGATATAGTCACGTAGATATTGCAGGTGCTCCAATGCTGCAGGTTTTTAAGAAGAGACTGGACAACCATTTGACTGAAATGGTATAAGGTTTCCTGCCTGAGCAGGGGGTTGGACTAGAAGACCTCCAAGGTCCCTTCCAACTCTGTTATTCTGTTCTATATCCTCAAGTTATTAGGACATCATTCATTAATAAACAAATGACTAATTACAGGACTTGGAATGATTTTGTAAATAGTTATTTTTTTAAAAAAAACGCAACCACCCATAGTTATATAATGAATTTTAAATTGGTCACACAGTTATTCACAAATTATGATGGTTTAAAATGGATTTGAATCAAAGGATACTCTAACCCAACCTGGGAAATTTCTGGCTTTGGCTGCCCAATAGCTTAACATGCTTTTCTTGCCAAACATACAGGTGAGGTTGTATTTATGCTTGCTTTTCTGAAAATGATAAAAAAAAATATCTGGTAAAAAAACCCCAACAACTCCTAACACAGATAGCTCTACTCCATGTTTTATGCTAACTCAATAAGGTCATAGATGTATCTAAAGCAGTGTTTTTCAACCTTATCCCCTTTGAAAATGGTAGACTCCAACTCCCAGCATTCCCCAGTCAAATTCTGGGAACTGAAGTCCACAAGGGTGAAAATTGTTGAGGAACCCCGGTCTAAGGCAATCATGGGGGATCTTGAATGAAAGTGCCTGAGATGCTGTGGGATCTGCAGCTGTGTCCTCATTGATTAAGTAACCCATCACGTTGCCAAGTTTCCAGGAGATTTTTCTGGCAGAACTGACCTCTGATCTCCATATTCATTGCCCCTTTGCCCTCTCTTTGATCTTCATGGATCACAGAAACCCCTTCTAATCCTTGGTCCCTTTGGATGAAAACTGTGTCCCTGGCACTCCCAAGATCTGTGCATAGATGATTTAAGAAGTCAATCCTTAGGAAAGGGTGCAGGCTAATCCTGGTACAAGGACATGGAATAATCCTCATGGTGGTTCACATGACTATGGATAACCCAAACTGGGAGAAAGATCTACCAATCCAACTTCAGATACATTGTCTAGCTTTCCTTCCTTATTTAATTTTATTGCATTGAAATCTCTAGGAGAGCGTTGGGCAACCATGCTGGCTCAGGAATCCTGGGAGTTGGAGTCCACAGGTCTTAAAGTTGTCATGGTTGCCCACTCTTGCTCTAAGATGCCCCAATCCCTTTAGACCCTTAAGATGCAACATGTCTGCTCGATGGGAAACTGTTGAGTTTCTCAAAATCAATTCTTGCTCCAAAATCTCGTGACTTGCTAAGGAATCAATCAGAAAAGAAAAGGGAGGAAGATGACTCTCCCAGTCATGGCTGATCTCTGAGAACCTAAATCCGAACACAACCATCACAGTAAATTAATGCTTTTGAGCTGTGGCGATTGGCCACGTTGAGCAATTCAGTGGGGGGGGGGAACCATAATTGCTAGGATGGGTGTGATCGGAGTCAGAGGAATCCAGTCACGTATTTGAGATGCGATTCGCTTTTCTTTGGCCTGTTCAACAAATTCCTAATTCTTTCCCTTTAGAAATCCTCCTGTTAAGAAACATGGAAAAAAGACAAATAATCCATGTCTCAAGGGAACTCCTCATTTCTGTTTCAGCCTCCCTCCTTCAAAAGTTTTGGCAAACAATTGGCACTACGAGTGGCAAGACAATTAATGTCAATTCTGGAATTACTTAGAGGACCGTTACTATGGGCTGTTTAAAATAATTTGGGCAGTCTTTTTAATTAAATGAAAACCTCTCACCTCACTATTGAGCAGTATATTCCTCTAAATACGGTGCTTCTTGACTTCAGCAACTTTCAGAGGTGTGGACTTCAACTCCCAGAATTCCCCATGCTTGGGATATCTGGGAATTGAAGTCTACCTTTTTTAATGTTGCTGAGGTTGAGAAATACTGCTCACGGATCATTGAGGAGTTTGAAATAGTTTTTTAAAGGTTGTAATAATCTATTTAAATAAATAAGTCAGAGGTTTCTGCAGGGAAGGAATTAAAAACCAAACATGGCAGCTACAACCATCTAATCATTTTGGCCTCCTCCCAGCAGACAGTTTAATTAATAACTTCAATATAATAAACACTGCTTTTTTCCTTTATGTTTAATGCTGCTGAATACCGCCAGACTCTGCAGGTTGCACCGAATGGCAAACCTGGAACAATAAATAAATAAATTAAAAATCTAAACCAAGTTGCACGAGAGGTTGATTTTGCATAAGGTTACAGATGAAATTATATTTGGCACCTAAGGAAATCTATCTGGACTGGTGATCTCTCCAATCCTCCTTCACTCATCCCTTGTGTGTATGTATGTATGTATGTATGTATGTATGTATATATATATATAATGTAGGGTAAAAGTAGCCTTGAAAAATCTTGCCACATTCCCTCAAAGTTTCTTTATTTGGAAAAGCACAAAATAGTATCTAGAAATATTCAGGATTCAATGATATTTGTTGTTGTTGTTAAAAAAGATAAAAGAGTGATTGTTTGATATGCATTATGGGTCAGTGTTAACTTATACTGTAAGCCAGGGGTGTCCAACCTTGGAAGGACTTGTGGACTTCAACTCCCAGAATTCCCCAGCCAGCCATGAATGGGAACTCTGGGAATTGAAGTCCACAAGCCTTAAAGGGGCCAAAGTTGAACACCCTTGCTGTAAAGCCTCTACTGTTGGTTTAGTATGGAACTTTAACAGGGTTAAGTAGCCGAAAGTTGAGAATCCAGAGATTCCACAGGGACAAATGTAGCTCTGTCCTGATTAGCTCCTCAATATAAGAAGAGCCCTACGTTTCTCAAAAGCGTTTTGACCCATAACTCTGGTTTCCCTGTTGAAGAGTTTGAAAGGTCCCTGAGCTTTAACCAAAACTTCTAACTTCTTGGGCGTCTATTACCGATCACAAGATGGATTGTCATTCACAGTAAAGTCAATCATAAGGTGCTTATATACCCTTTTTTTCTCTTTTTCCAATTCGCACAAAGAGCGGTCAGGGGAAGTGGTGGTCAGTGGCAAGGGCTGGAACGAGAGAGGATTCGGGGTTTTGGCAGTGGCGTTAGGATTATTATCTGGCTGCCTCTTTGACAACAGGTGATTCAATCGACATTCCTTAGCAAAAGAAAAAACACCCCTCGACCCCCACCCCACCCCAAACAACCACAAAAAACGACAACGTAAAACCCTGTATAACAAATATGTAATTTTCCCTGAGTAAAACCCGCAAGTGCTCTACGCCCATATTGCACTAGAGAGAAATGAAACACATGTGCAAAAAAAGCAACAAAGACCGAAGCTTGCGAATACATTTTTAAAAAGAATTATTTTGCGATGGCCTCACGCTTTACGGAATGTCGGAAACACAAAATCACTTCCTTTCACCTACGACATAACGAAAAAAACCCACCACCCACGCGCCTCTGCTATGGCACATTCAATGAAATCAAATGCTTTTTTCCAAAGACAAGTAGACAAATTCCATCCACAAAAATAATACAAAGTTGGTTTGTTTTTTGTTTTTCTTTTTTAGAAAAATTACATTGCTTTCTTTCATTTTTTTTTCACATTACAAAATCTTTTTTGTTTGTTTCTACCTTTACACAAATCACATTTTATTGCAGGAATAGTTCAAGTGCCACCAAATATTTATAGAAGGGTTAAAAAAATAGAAGTCTCTCTAAGTGGTCCAGACAAGGCTTTATATAGAATATTTTTTCCACCTTCTATTTTTGACTTACATATCTTCAACACATTTTTCTTTATTCCATGGACACTTAATGGCCTAACAACAACCACACACGCATATACCCCACACGTAAAGGGTACACACACACAGACCTTGATAACCTTATGACAATGAAAAGCTCCCTAAAAAGACAACCAAATTTAAAAGAATGTCACATATCATGTCAGTTCATAATTCTAAACAATATAAACACGACTGAGACAGAATTGTGCCGTCAAGGCCCAGGATAGATGCCTTCTTTTAAAATAGTGCAATAGGTCCACCAAAATAGGATAGGGGAATGGAAACCCAAATTAATTTTAACTTCCAGTTTTCTGGAGTTCACCTGCAGGTATATTGTGAAGTTTTGATATATCCCACCACGGAGAATGCTACACTTTATATAGTTGAATCCTACCTGGAGTTTGTTATCCAACAAGTATATTAGGCTAGCCAACTTTGGATGTTAAAACTTATTTCTGGAGTTTATGTTTTTGCCAATAGGTTTCCCCTCTGACATTCAAAGTACATATTACTGATTACTTGTGGCATCTTTCATAAGAGGATTATCAGCATCATTTTATCGTTATCAAAATATAATTTGCTATTAACTAAAAGGAAATGATCAGAACAGAGCAAGACAGGGAATTAATTCCCTGTGATTCTCTAGGGAAGTCAAAGTTGGACTTTGAAGAAACAGGGAAGGAGGAAGATTGATGCTTTTGAACTTAGGAGCTGGAGAAGGCTCCTGAGAAGAGCATCAACAGCTAAGATTTTTTTTTTTAAAAAAAAAATGTATCATCCCACAAGTCAACCTAGAATTCTCACTCATGGCACAAAAGACTAACCTTAAATTATCCTATTTTGGACACATTATTTGAAGACTTAACTCTCTGGAAAAAGTCCTCATGCTAGGAAAACTCAATTTTTTTTTCATAGACATGACAGGACATGAACAAACTCTACTATGGTTTGTGGACATACATGATCCTACAGAAGGCTTGATAAAGCAAAGAATGAAAATATTCTTCTCAAAAGTTTTAGCTACCTAGTAAAGTCATCTCTAGGTCAAGGATAAAGAGGTTGAGACGAGGAGACACATCCCTACAAAGGCTTTATATTCAGATCATTGGGATGCTGAAGCTTGCTATATTTTTAACCTATTTTTTTAAAGAAGAGTAGCTTGCAATTCTGGCTGACATTACCACTATCCGTGAATAAAGGTCTCAATCACTTTCATTCTTGATGGCATTTTTACCACCAAAAAGATAACTGGAATCAGAATTCAAAATGGCCCTCAGAACGATTAGTAGTCAACAAATTAAAAATACTTACTCTGATAAATGTGAGTTAAGATTCACTGATAATACAGACTGTATTTCAAGAGGCAGGAAAGAGAAATAGGCGAGAATTAAAGATTGTGTAGTTGGTTTCTTTAAATACGGGTGATTCAAGAACTCAACCAAAGAGCCTCATGTACTCAGTGGGGCTTCCCAATAGATCAAAGGGCACAGGATTGCAGCCTTGGTCACTGGCTCTAAACACAGCTGTGAAGACCAGGATTCCAACTGGAACTTCTGGTCAGTTTGAGGGGACCCTCTCCAAGATTTTGAAGTGGCTGAAGGAGCAAATGGAATGTCAAAAGGAGAACTGGAGTCCAACTTGTATCACCGCCTTTTAGATCAGATTTTGCATTTGAATAGGATTGCTCAGGTAGATTTCATCGGCCAGGATATAAATAATTCTTAATATAGAGCTTCTTGCTCCTGATTCTAGGTGTAGGTGGCTAAAGTGTAGCACGTGGTAAGCAGAGCATGAATTCAGATTGTTTTGGATTTCAAAATAGCGGACTGACCGAGATACCAAGATGGCGGTGGCAACTGTGTGATCCAAGCTCCCCGCCCCCCTCTGTGGGAGCTTCTGTTTGGAACGAATTGGGAAGCATGGGTGCAAGTAGCACTTCTTAGTTTACAAAGGAATTAGCCACGTGTAAGAGCAGGTTTTTTAACAAGCCTCCAGCCGTTTCAGCAAAAAAAGTTGGGTTTCCATGCACTGAATACAAGATTTAAGCCCATGGAGACTATCCACGAGAAAAAAAAATTGTATGTACCCTATCTGTCTTAATACATTGAATCTGTTTTTCTCTCTCTCCACACACATACACATATACAAACACACACAAAATGTAAACAAAAGTATTAGGACCAATATTTCCAAAACACAAGTGTCTAAATTTGGTTGTCGGAATCCATATTTACTCACCCCAGGAAATGGGCTGATTTTAAAAAGATGTTACTGAAAACCAACATGTTTTGTTAAGTAACTAAACATAGCTCTTTTTTTTTCAATCCCCATTGTCAGCAATCTGGTTTAAAAATAGGGATTTTTTTCTTTTTTCTTGCTTCTCCAATAAAATCATAGTTTTAAGAACCAGAGAACAGTTTAGAAGCTTGACTCCCCTCCCTGCCCCCTTACACAAGACCACGGAAGGGTATCTCATGACCTGGGCCAGCCTCTCTGCCAAAGGAAACGTGGTAAATAGCAGCACAACCCCCTTTGCAGTGTCCTCCTCCTCTCCCTTCCAGCCCTCCCTTAAACTTGGGTTTCTGGTGTACATGCAGCACAAACATTGAACACGCCAGCATATAATTTAAAAAGAAAAAAAGGTGCAAAATGAAAGTGCCTTATCAATTCAACAATAAAAGTTATACCAGTTAACTACATTTTTATATTAATTAAAACAATATATAAACAATATCATCTCTTTTGCTATATATTGACTTCATGCCCATTTACCCTGTAATAGATTATAATGCTATTGCTATGGACTCTTTTCATGCCATTCCGCCTGGCGGCAATCACGGTACGGTGAAAAGACATCGTCCTTCATGAAACCATGAGCAAGGTTGTGCAAAACTGATGATGTGGAGCCTCTGTGATGCACACCAGTCACCGGAGTCAAGCTGGAGATTCGGTTCGGACCTTGTTCGGTGAGCGTCTCTGTGGGCAGTGAGTTACAAGGACAGAGGGAAACCCTCCTTCTGTGTAAACAGAGGCTGAAGACTGAGAAGTCCAGACAGGAAAAAAGGGTCCCTCTGGGTGAGCATCGCAGCAACTGGACCAAGAAGACGAGCAACTTCGGCCCTTGCTTCGTTTTTCCCCTCCTTCGCCTGGCGCCTTTGCCCGGAAGATGTGCAGTGTGCTGGCTCCCTACATCTTAAGCAGGGCCACGAAAGTGTCTCGGTTTCGTTTAATCTCTTTCTCTCTTGCTATCTTTCTGCTTGAATGTCTGTCCCTTCTAGAAGGCTCGAGAAGACCCCGTTACCCTTCCATCTGCACCGTCGGCTCAAATTCTGAAGTGAACAACTCCTTGTACAAAGGAGGGAAATGAAGTCGTACAATGTCTGGGTATATTGCTCTGAACGCCATGAGCTTTTCTGTATGTCGTCCACACAGGGCTCTTAAGGTAGACACTTTGCATATTAGCTGTGAGGGGAGAGGCAAAATAGATGCCATTAGTGAAGGATTTGGCTATTATTTTCCAGGGTGGGTGGGTGGGTGGCTTCAAGGGAGCAGTCCTAAAAGCCTTTAAGCCTCCCTGAGGAGGATGGGGTGAGGTCATGGTGGAAGGAGAACCCCAGGGGTTGCATCAAGCAGCTGTGTTGGTGGCACTAGGCCTTTCTCTTTTTGCTTTTATAATTTGCTGCTGTTCTGGCTGAGAAGACTGCTTCCTTATAAGTTGCCCAGAATTTGGTGTTAAGATGGGCTGCTTTGCCAATGTTTTAAATGACTAAAATATTTAAAAGTTGTAAGTGCTGTGAGATACAACCCCTTTAACTGGCTGCTCATCTTTCATTTATTCTATTTGTTCCCTATTTCCATTTTTAGGGCCTGCAAAGCAACAGGTGTTAGAAAAGCTGAGGGACAAAGAGGAGTGGTCCTTCCCCTCTAATCAAATGTTATCTTTCAGAAGTATTATGGGCTATAGGTGAGCAGGGGACCCATAATGCTCATCTAGCAATAGTGGCCTTATCCACGGGGATCTCTTCTTCTGGTCGCAATGTCAAAAAGGATATAAAGAAAGTTGAATTCCTCCCAAGAGGAAGAATCATTCTTCATACAATTTTAAGAAATATCTCCCTAACATTAAAATTTCCACATAAATGATGCCCAATTTCTAAAGAGTTGATACCCGATCCATTGCTAAGCCTGAGATTCAAAGCCTCTGACTCTAGTTCAGCATCTAAAGCAACTTGAGAAGAAAGAAATACATTATCTATGTTCTCTGGAGCAATTTCTCATAATTGGCTCACCTTTATTATTCAGGTTTATTAGATAATCACTGCAATTTCCTCCATCACATTTTAAACAAGCATCACAAAATATTCCGTAAAAGAGGATGTTAATTCAGTTGAAAGTTGTACGGCTGGTCTAGTTAGTTAAATAGACTTTAAAGGGCAAAAGATTGTGGTAGATTCATTACCTTTGTTAATATTCCATCTTCTCGATGGTTTTTCTGCAGTACATGTTGAAGCGCAAACTGAATTTTTTGCTGGAGCTTTTCTATTTTTACCTTTTCCTGAAGCCACGATCGATCTAAAAAGGGGAAAAAGTGGAAGGAGGGGGGGCAATTCAGGTGGTTCTTTTCAATTACAATTTGCAGACATTTTATTCATTGGGTTGAAGTCTTGGGTTAACTCCACTACCATAAACCGAGCAATCCAACTCTCCTGATAGCGCTTCAGTCTCAGATGACCTGCCATCTTCCATCCCTTGGTGGAAAGCAAGAGAGGTTGAAGAACATTTGATGGTTCTCCATCCTGTTCTTGTTTCTTTCAAGAAATGGTTCACGTTTTCCCTGAAGTTTGGGGGTCAGTCAGAAGGCTTTAAAGTCCAACCAGTGTGAGAAGAGAGCTGCTGGGCCTCTTCAGGAGATAACCAAAAGCACATCTATGCCACGTTATTCCTCTCCTAAACATCTACTTGACTTTCAGGATTACCAAGCTAAGTGATGACGTCAGGTTTTCAGTAACAAAACCTGCAGACTATTGGAAGTGAATTAAATACATTGCTCTGAAGGAAAAGCAAAAATTTTTGGCTCAGGAGCAGAAAATATTCAAGGTGAATTTGAAAAAGCAAAATTACTTCCTCGGATTGATACCTTACCTGCAGATAGTAAAACGAAAGCTGAGAATAATGCAATCTCGTCTTCAGTAAGGTGCATAGAACATAAACTTTTTCCAAATTCAAAAACAAAACTAATGAAATCTTCACAGCCTGCAAAATAAAACAATCAAACAGGGTCTTTTCCAAAGAATGCAACAGAAGATAAAAAGTGCTTTCAGCTTCTACTTTTGTACTTAGTATACTAAAACTCTGCTTGGTATATTTTTTTAGCTTAAACCCTTGATTTTTCAATTTAAACATCTGGGTATCATTGTATAATACTTAAGTCTCATATAAGGTTAAAGAACACTGAAATTAAATGGTGCCCCTGGGTATTTACGGTTATTATTTTTTTGAGTTATTTCTATAAAATATATTTGTTTATGATAAAAATAGTTTTCAAAAAGCAGCACATTTAGAATATTAATACATTCTAATGAAGCATTTATTGCCTTACCTAATGATTTGAATACATCTGGGCCAGCGTATTTGCCATCGAAGTATACTGTGTTGTTTTGAGAGTCAAAGGCACGACACATTCTGATAAATACAACCTCTAAAGACCCTAATGAAATAGGAAAAGATTTTTCAATGGCAATATTAAGAAATAAGAGGTTTCAGGTTGCTTTTAAAAGTGTGCCTTGTTCATCAGGAATACTTTGTTATGGTCTGTAACTTCATTTTTGATTGTATATGTTATTTATTACATCAATTTCATCTATTTAGTATGTATAAAACTAATGGGGGAAAAGTATTTTCTCCACTTACTGTTAAAGGATCCTTCTAAACAAGAGTTTCTCCACCTTTGCAACTTGAGGATGGGTGGATTTCAACTGCCAGAATTCCTCAGTCAGGATGGGGAAATCCACCCGTCTTCAAGTTGAATTCTGGGAGTTGAGGTCCACCTGTCTTCCAGTTGCCAAGATTGAGGAACACTGCTTTAGACCAGAGGTCCCCAACCTTTTGGGCACCAGGGACCATGGAGAGAGGTTTTTCCGTGGACCAGAGGGGGCGTGGTTTTGCGTGCTGCCTGCATCCCACGGATGGGGCTTTGCTTGTTTGTGCAGACCGGTTGCTGGCATGCTGCGGCCCAGTACTGATCCACGGGCCGGGGGTTGGGGACCCCTGCTTTAGACTATCAGTTTTTTTGGTTCCTCTGAGAATCTGTTAGCAACATGTCACAAATAATCATCATACTTTACGGTAGCGATTCTAGGATTAACTGAAACAAAGGTGGATTTCAGCATTTGCCTTACTCTGTCACATAATTTCCTTGTCTGGGTTCTTCTTTACCACCAGGAAGGAACACATGGCCTCCTCAAAGGCTAAGGTCACATCCTCCATGCCATAAATGATATGATGAACAAGGTCTTCAGTAGATTGCAGGTGGTCTTGGTTGAGTTTAGGAGCAACCTGCTCTCCGATAACGAATGGAGTTTCTACTTTTCATGTTTTATTCATTGTAAAGGGCTTGTTCCTGCCATTTTTTAAAAATTTAACTGTGGTTTATTTTTTTTTTAGCAGCAATTACTAGTCCTCCCGGAGCAACAGAGTAACCTGTGATTGACAATAATTGAGTGGAAAGTTTGTAGTTTTAGCTGTTGAGAAGATTGGATTCCCATTGCAACCCACATTGCACAATCCTTCAGACAAGCAGACACATTTCACAAAAGGCACAAACCTGCTTTTAAAAGCACAATTTGATCGTTTTGGCATAGTTCCATGAAGCCGTCGATGCGTTTGGCAAACTCTACGACATACTGTATTGCTTCCGTTATTTTCACCGCACACAACTGCCACATGATTTCTCTTTGCTGGGGAAGAGAAAGAAGACTTAAGGCTGAACTCTTCCCAGGAAAGACTCCAAACCATTAAAATGCTTTCGATTTTTAAGGAAATCAGAGTATCGGTCTGGACTCGAACAGCCCTACTGCTTGTTTGAGATGTTCTGGTCACCAGGTCACCTTTTTGTTTTTCAATTTGCAAGTTTAATTACAATACCTTGATATTTTTAAATTTTAAAACCTATATTGCAAAGCGCTTGGAACCCAAGGAAAGGGGGTGCTTTTCATCTCTACAATTGATCTTTAAAAGAAACAACCCCATTGGCCAGAAAAAAATACCTTGCTCTGATAGTTCTCAATTTCTTCCTGCAGAAACGTTTGCCAGGTGATCTGTTGCAGCTCTTCCCTCAAGTACTGGCAGGTTTCCATGTGTGACTTAGAAATGTTCTGTGCCAGGTGTTCTGGAAAAGCAGAAGTTCCCAGGCATTAGCCAAGAGGCCACACAGGTTCCTAACTCACATCTCCTAAGTCGCCAGTTCTCATTAGCAGCAAATCTGCACAGGGCTGAAAGGAGCCTTCTCAGCGCCTGTCTGCATCCTTTCCCCCTGGCTTCGGGTCCTGACAGTGGCTGTGAGCGATGGGTGACTGGCCCTGGATCCAAGCAATTCTGGCTAAGCTGCTGTTTTCCAGTTGTTTAAGATATGAACTCGGCCGATGGCTGGCTGGCTCAGGTCTCCTGGCGTCTGTCTGAATGACACCGTTTCTGATAGCTTGAAGAGGAGAGAGGGCTACGGGATGGGCAGGGGAGCAAACTGTAGCATCTCAATGCTGTTGCACTGTATTTGAATGCCGTTCAAGGCATCCAGGCCTTTGGGAAGAAATGACCTAAGGAGCTAGTCAAACAAAGGCTGCAGACAACACATTCACTTTTTTATACTGGGGCGATTTCCCCCAATTATTATCCCATATTACCTGCGAGAGAGAGGCTGCTATTGCTACATCCGTCCAAGGACAGAAGTGTTTGACCCAGGCTGGGAAGCCTTTGCTTAACAGGAGCCCTTGACTTACAATAATGAGCCGAGGTGGCGCAGCAGTTACAGTGCAGTACTGCAGGCCACTTTAGCTGACTGTGTTCAGCAGGTCAGCGGTTCAAATCTCACCGGCTCAAGGTTGACTCAGCCTTCCATCCTTCCGGGGTAGGTAAAATGAGGACCCAGATTGTTGGGGGCAATGTAAAATATATATATACATTGCTTACTGGTGTACACCGCTTAGAGAGTGCTTGCACTTAAAGCGGTATATAAGTCTCATAAATAAATAAGTAAATCCCAACCGGGATCAGAATTTCCATTGTTAAACAATGGAAATGAATCCCATCCAGTTTCACAGCCTTTTTTGCCATAATTGTTCAGGGAATCACTGCAGTCCTTAAACGAATCCAGCTTCCCGCATTGACTTAGCTTGTCAGAAGCCATATAGGAAGATTGCGAGTGGGGATCACGGGACCCTGGGCCACTGCGACCGTCATGAATGCAATAATGCCCAAAGTTTGATCCCTTGACCGCGGGGATGCCGTGATGGTCGTAACTGCGAGGATTGATTGCAAGTCACTTTTTCAGGGCCACTCCAACTTAGAACAATTGCTAACCAAATGGTTGTAATTCAAGGACTATCTTTCATTGTGGTACACAATTGCTCTTCAAACAGATTTCACGTGGGGCAAAAATGTAAATAATTTTCACCACCAAAAAGACTCCTCTTGGCCATGATTTGGCAGACATCTGACTTCTTTGTGTAAAGGGGCTGTCTGCACAGCAGGCTGTGAGGTTTTACAAGCACATTTTTTAATCACAGGTCAGCAGCCCTCAAATAAAGTCAGATGAAGCAGCTCAATTTCATAAGCCATTAAATAGGGGAGTCCCAGAAATAGCTGCCGTAATCACTAACTAAAGCGTTTGTGGAAATAAATGTGAGACATGCAAGAACGCAATACTGAAATCTTAGATCCCATTTTGATGAGAGATATATCTGGATTTTCTGCATTCTACATCAGGTCTCGGATGAAGCTGGTATCTGCTAGGGTTGCATTAAGTCCATTGGCCATCCAAAACCTGCCTGTTGGGTCATCATTACTGCATGGGGAGAGTTAGACAATCAGCTCCCTTCCAGAAAACAACCGATATGACTCTAACCCAACACTCACACAACCTCCCCTTCTTTGAGACAGCCTGGAAGACCAACAAAGCTAAAATAGCCAAGCTGAGGGGTCCTTGGTGCTCTTTGAGTTTGGTGGCTTTCTTGCAGATGTTTCATGACCCAAACTGGGGAACGTCATCAGCGCCAATCAATAGCCAATCTATCAACCCACAAAGGCCAAGCAGGAATGGAGGACTCTTCCTGAGCCAAGCTGTATCTAGAGGAAAGGACAGAATTCTAGGCCCGGAGACCCTCTTGGCAGGGTAGGGTGTCGCTTTCCATCCAAAGGCAACTAAGAGAGCAACTATGGGACAGGTTTTCCCCCTCTGTATCATTACCTAATTCTGCCATGGACACAGTAGGAGAGGTCTCCCCATTGGTAAAGGAGCAATATGGAAAGAAGCCCGTCGTGGGTGTGTAGTCACAGATTGGTTCTGGTTTGATGCCATTAATATCAAGCCCCGACTGGTCTGGAGAAGGCTGTATGTCTAAGTAGAAGCTGCTAACCGCAGAGTCGGCTTTGCTACCTTCAGGAGGGTGACCATCTATGTAATTACTGAGGTCATCGTGCAGGTCCGTCAGGCCATTAGCCGTGATGCTGTAGCTCGGGGTCAGCGGCTCCGCTTCTCCGGGGGGCTGTTGGTGGTCTCGCTGCTGCTGCTGCTGCATCCGATGCTTCTGGACCTCTGCGTACAAGCTGTCCCTCTGTTTTTTGGACATGCGACCAAACTTGACGGCTGGAAGAGAGTCAAAAGCAACAGCTCTGGTCACCTTCCCTTACTGCCAGGCCAGCTCTTGGGAGACGGCTACATTCAAAGGCCACATCCACAGGATGACGCGGTCGGCCGCAGGGAAGTCCACCCATCTTTAAGTAGCCCAGATTGAGAAGCCTGCCGTGGGAGAGTCTGAAGGGATGGTTCATACGTGGGCAAAAATCAATCATCTCATATGAAAAAGGCCTACATTTGATCAGGCCTACATTTCAGCTAGATAAAAAAAAAAGTACAAAGGTGTTTAACTTGCAGAAGTGCCTAAATGTAGGGTTCTCTGATGCAAAAAAGTAGATTGTTTTCTCTGAATCACAGGAATATGCATCTCTGATATCATTTAAAGACAAACATTTTAAACCCTGTTGAGATTCAGACCTGTCTGAGAACTCAGATTTCAGAATACATCTGAAAAGAAAGAAGGAAAGGGAGGAAGGAAGGAAGGAAATTTGAAGTTACACTTTGCAATGTGAGGAAACGTCTTTTTGAGAAGCCACACATTGGTGGCTTAAATGAAAGTGTTGTAGTGTTGAATGACATGATAGCATTTGAACAATTATATGCAGCGTGGATGCAGGGAACCAAAAACCCCAAGGCTGTCAAGCAGAGGGGATTTCACAATGAATTGTTTCAAGGTAGCGGAGAAGCTGGCAAAAGCCAAGGAGGGTATCTGTCTGGCTCTGTCTGTCTGCGTCTGTCTCTCCCTCCCTCTCCCCCCCCTCTCTCTCCCTCTCTCCCTCCCTCTCTCTCTCCCTCCCCTCTCTCCCTCTCTCTCCTTCCCTCTCTCCCTCTCCCTCTCTCTCCCTCTCCCTCCTCCCTCTCTCTTCTTCTCTCCCCCCCTCTCTCAGACCCACAAGAGAGCCGACCAGGGAGTAGAGAAGCTGGCAAAAGCCAAGGAGGGTCTCTCTCTCTCTCTCTCTCTCTCTCTCTCTCTCTCTCTCGGGGTTGGGGGAGCTCACCGTCTCGAGACATCCCCACAGCGAGGCATTTCTGCAACCGGCAGTGCTGGCAGCGGTTCCTACTGGTCCGATCGATTAAGCAGTTTTTCTGACGAGGGCAGGAATACGTGGCATTGCTTTGCTGACTTCTCCTGAAGAAACCCTGCGAAGGAGCCCAAGAAGACACAGGTGAGAACAGAAGGTGTGCTGTACAAGTGGTCCTCCTCTTACCACCATCCATTTAGTGACCGCCTGAAGTTGCAACGTCACTTGCAAAAAGCGACTTATGACCGTTTGCAGCATCACCTGTTCAGAATTCAGACACTCGGCGACTGGCTCGTATTTATGGCGGTTGCAATATCTTGGGGCCACGGGATCCCCTTTTGTGGCCTTCTGACGAGCAAAGCCAATGGGGGGAAGCTGGTTTCACTTAACCACTGTGTGACAAAACAACTCCAGTGATTCGCTTAACAAATGGGGCGAGAAAGGTCGTAAAATGCAGCAAAGCTCACTTAACAACTGTCTCCCTTAGCAACATAAAATTTTGGCTCAGTTGTGGTTGTAAGTTGAGGACCACCTGTACAGGTCCTAAGAGCGTTATGATCTTGCCGGCTGGGGAATTCTGGGACTTGAAGTCCTCATGTCTTAAAGTTGCCATGGTTGGTCTAAATCAGGGGTCTACAACCTTGACAACTTTAAGACTTGTGGACTTCAAGTTGCAGAATTCCCCAGCCAGCTATGCTGGCTGAGGACTTCTGGGAACTGAAGTCCACAAGACTTAAAGTTGTCAAGGTTGTAGACCTCTGGTCTAAATCATTTGCTGGGAACCACTGAGGAGGCCAAAGAGGAAACGGCTTCGCTTCCTCTCCCAAGAAAGTAAAGGCCCATTTTGGGCACTTTGGGCTGGTGTGTGTGTGTTTCTCTCTCTCTCTGTGTGTGTGTGTGTGTGTGTGTGTGTGTGTTTCTGGGCTTCCCTTTTCTGTGAGCCACAAAGCTGGTGTTTGGTCTTTTGACAATTTTCATTTAATGAATTGATTCCTACAGTTCATTAACATGCCCACTTCTGTATACACATATGTCTTAATTAGCTGCTCATTGGCTGTTTAATTACAAGAAAACAGCTGACAGCTGCCTTGGTGCCTTCTAATGGCAGCCTTCTGAAAGGGATACACACCAGCCTGTGACAACAAAGACTTATTCATAATCTCATGATTTATAGCTAACAGTTACAGATTTCCATGTATCATTACCTTTCACAATATTCCAATAATTGCCAATTAGGAACCAGAGAGTTGTTTTTTCCCTTACTCTACGGATTTTCTACCCCTAATTCCGAATTTTTAAAACAAACATTCTTTAAAAAAAACTCTATTCCGCTTACAGAACTTTGGGATCACTTGGCAAAAGATTTGTCTACCTTCTAGCCTGAAAATTCACCTTCTGCCCCGAAAATTAGGATATTATTTAATCACTCTCTAGGATGTTGACTAGCTTGTGTTAAGAAGTCCTGTACCGTTAGGGTGGCCAAGGCTCCTGGCTCATGGAAGACAATTCTGGATCCGAGAAATGACCATTTATTTAAAACATCCTGTTTTATTTACGAAATTTGTCTGCTTATTTTATTTATTAAATTTGCTTGCCACCCATTTCTCCACAAGGTATTTGAAGGACAATCCAACTCAAATGTAAAAATTCCTCCAAAGCAAAAGCAGAAGATTCTCAGACAACATAAAGCAAAACATTGTTCAATTTTGCTTCCTGTCCACTCCATCCGATTAAAATAAAAATACAGGGAGTCCTCGGCTTATGACCACAATGGACTCCAAACTTTTTGTTGCTAAGTGAGACAGATGTTTTTGCCCCATTTTATGATCTTTCTTGCCAAAAGCTATTAAGTTGTTAAGTGAGTCATATGGTCCTTAAATGAATCTGGCTTTCCCATTGACTTGGCTTATCAGAAGGTTGCAAAAGAGGATCACGTGACCGAGGGCACTGTAACCATCATAAATATGAGACAGCTGCCAAGCACTTGAATTTTAATCAGGTGACCATGTGGGGATGCTGCAGTGGTCATTAGTGCGAGAAGTAGCCATACGCCATCTTTTTCAGTGCTGTCGTAACTTTGAACGGTCAGTTCAGGACCACTTGGACTTCCTGGCAAACACACAGGTGCCCTCAGAGGCCAACTCTGGCTGCGGTGTGAGAAGGTGTGTGGCCAGCACAGCTCTTCAAGGGCAGGGTGTTGTTGGTGCTGCAGTGATCTTCGCCTTGGGTAGACAAGACGCGACGCAGCGACAGGGAAGTCTCGCCTTTCTGCCTCGGTGTGACCTGCACACCGAGGGCCTGCTGGATCTCTCGGGAAAGCATCAGAGAGAATAAGAAAGACTTTCCCAGCAGCACTTCCACCTGGCAAAGCCTCACCAGCCCGAACTATAGAAAGCAACGGAGTCTTTCTCAAAAGGGACTTTTCTTTCTAGGAATGTCCCTTTCAAGAAAGAAAATTCATGTTTTCCCGGACACTCAGGACAGACGCCGATTCTGCTCAGAACATTAGAAATGGAAGAAGAATCCAAAGGAACCTCCAGCTGCAGGATAAGCCAGCGTCAAGGCAGCCTAAAGCATGTCCAGCCTTGGCCACTTTTAAGACTTGTGGACTTCAACGCTCAGAATTCCCCAGCTGGCCACGCAACTCTTCAATTGTTGAAATTAAGTGCCCAATTCGCTCCATGAATTTAGACAACAGCCTCTCAAATATATAAGGGATGCCCTTTTTCATTTCAAGGGCAGGATGAAAAGTAAATGCACCCCACCAGGAACGCCGGAAAGCTTCAGGAGAGAAATTGCAACTGGAAGTTTTAAAATCCGCCCAGGGCAGATTATTGATTGTATTTAATATTGCTAATCGGATTCAGTATTTCATCTTGCAGAAAGACAAATAAGTCAGTGGATAAACAGATACAATAATTTCCTCTCTCTCACATACACATGCACACACACATACACACACACACACACACACCACAACCATAAGTGTGTTTATCTCTGTGTGTATATCTATGTCTCTCTTTCTTTCTCTTTCTCTCTCAATCTCTCTGTATAATATAAAGCTTACCTTGCAACCCTCACAGGTAATCACACCATAATGGATTCCTGAAGATTTGTCTCCGCAGATCTTGCATGGAATAATTTCAATTTGAGCTGCAACAGAAGCACGCCACCAGTTAATTATATTTTCTTTTAAATACCTTATAAAGAGCATTCCCTGATCAGCATTTGTACATTGAAAACTAATAACCTGCTCAACATTCTACCACATTAACTATTCATTGCTGAACGGTGCGGCTTCCCCCAGGGCCTTGTACTAATTCATGGCTGCTTGTTATATAATAACTTTCAGGTTATTAAAATGGGCCATTTGAGAGGGGGCTTAAAAATGCACAATGTTGTCAGATTTAGCGTTTCCAAATCTAGAAGGACTGGACTCAAGAGGTCTCACTTTGGTCACACGGTGCAGGGAAGAGAAACCACAACAGATCTAAAGAGGGCAACCTACAATTGCGTTGATCTCATAAAAGCTAAATCGCTATGATACAGTTCAGATAAAATTCCAATCAAGCTGGCTTGCTCAAATCCTGGCCCACTGGGTAAGAAACCACAGAGATTAAAAGTACAATTTTGCAGCCTGATTTCCCTGTTGCTGGGATGGGCTCATTATATGCCAATCTACCCATTTCATGCCCTCCCAAGGAACAAGAGTCTCCCCCAGTATCTGCTGTCCTTCAGATGTCTTGGATGACCGAGACCATCCTCCACCTGGCCAGCAGGCCCATCACATCTGGCGGACTATAAATTGGGGATGATTTTCTTAGATCAACGGATGCACTTCTGAATTATACAAAATGAATTAATTCCAGGCGAAGTTATGGGTTGGAAATCATCTGGTTTATATTTAAGTAAGACATGTGACGATTCTAACTGGTCCCACTGAAGTCTACTCATATGGATCCCCTTGCTGATCTTCTGAATGACCTTGACTCAGATCTTCAAGAAGAACCTGGCAAGAGACACAGCTATCCTTTGGAAGAGAAAACTGCCCCCCCTCACTCAACCGTTCTCCACAACCTCTCCACACCTTTTCAGATTGACAGACAGTGAAAAGTTAAAGCACAGTTAATTCTCTTGTTGACATCCATATTGTTGCCAAGAGCCTCTTGGCGTGTCACCTTCAAGCTGTTGGCCATTGAGGTTGCAAGACAGCAGAGAATCGCCATGCTTTGAAGGTTTGGGTTACATAAGGTTAAGCCTTCATAGAATAATCGTTCCTGGAGTTATGGGTCAGGATGGTGGCTTTCATCCACCAGAATGGAACAGGTGGCAAAATCGTTTATGGAGAGGAGGGGCTGACGGGAGGGTCCTTCTCAAGCGCACAGGCCTTGGCATCTGGTCTCAACCTGGGCCTGGATTTTGTCTGCACGGCTGGATAGAGAACAGATCCAGTAGTCTTAGACTATGCCAAAGATGTGGAGGAGCAGCAGAGGCTGTTTTGGGGATCAAGGAATGGCGAGATGAGCGAGGTCCCCATTGCCAAAAACAGGTAGTCCTCAGCTTACAATCACACAGTTGGGACCAGAATGCCAGTTGTAAGTCACTGCGGTCGTAAGTCAAGGCACCACATCACTAGGCCCAACTTTTTCAACCATTTTTAATTGCAGTTGTTAAGTGAATCTCGCGGCCGCAAGTCCAAATCCACTCTTTCAAATGGGCATTTTTTGCCATTAAAGAACAGGTCATTAAATCGAGGACTACCTTACATACCGGAATGCAGGATCCAGAAATATCCTATGTGGACTAGCATAAAATCCAGGCCCTACTTCTGGCCAGCTTTATGCTCTGTTGCTTGGCCGCCATAATTACTCTACTTCGCTGTTGCTTCAGCTGAAATGAGGAGCCGAGCAGAGCAACTGAGTCAACGGGCAGATGTTTCAGATGTTATGATGCATTGTAGCCGTGCAGCCAACCTCAAAAATGCAGAGAATTGTCTTGGAACGAGAAACAGCCCAACTATCTGTGCCTGTTTCCTGAAATACATTCACTTAGTCACAAAATAAAAGAGAAGTCGAGAAAGAAGGAACAGAAGAAATATTTTTTTAAGAAAAATTGCGAAGGATTATATTTGCAAACCTTCCATTCAGAATAATGCACAAACTACCATAGGAAAAGTTTCTCTTGTAAGCTTCTTCCCTCAGTAAAGCAGAAAGCTACACTTATCAAAAAAGAAGCAATTTTTCCTAGAAAAGCCCATTTTTGCTTCTTCTCAGTCGACTGATTAAATATGCCGCTATACAGTCCCCAACACTCATACATATTTAGGAGCACAAATAAGAATTCCCCTTCTAATGCAGAGGAAGCAAGCAACTGAATTAAACATGGCCTCTTTGACTACCTAACATCCTAATAGCAGAGCATTTTCAGCTCCATTACCTAAATAATTTTCGAGGCGCCCTAAAGAAATTTGTGATTATTAGATATGATTCACCTAAATCATCCGAAGCTTGTAACAATGTTTGGGCTTTGACAAGTTGTTAGAATGAATGTTTGGATAGGGTAGGATGAAATATTCCTTTAAAAGGCCAAGCACTATCTGGGCTAAATATATTCTCTAGAGCAGACATGTCAAACTCGCGACATGACGTGATGTCGCGCGACGTATCGGAGCTTTTTCCCCATTGCCGCAATGGGCTGGACGCGGTTTCCTCGTGACGCATCCGGCCCGGGGGCCTGCAGTTTGACACACCTGCTCTAAAGCAATGCTTCTCAAACTTGGCAGCTTGAAGATTTGTGCACTTCAACTCCCAGAATTCCCCAGCCAGCATAGCCCCCAAATTCTGGGAGTTGAAGTCCACACATCTTCAAGCTGCCAAGGTCGAGATACACTGCTCTGAAAGATGGTTCTCTAGAAATGAGTTTTTATTTTCTATATTAGCTCGACTAGACTTTGCCAACGTAGCAATTGGATGGTGACAGGAAAAGGACTCGGCTGTTTTAATGAGACCGAAATAAGGGCTGCATTCGCACTCTTGCGCATTTGGTAACAGGCCTTCCGAGCTGAATCAGAAGCCCTGGTAGTTTGAAAACCAGTATGTGACCAAAAAACCTAGGATAATAATTAATATCAGCAGCCAATGTACTAAAGTTACTGCAAAAAAGAGAAAAATGCTAAGGAAATCTGTTTAATTGTGCACATACGTACAAAAAGTGGGCAATCCTTAAGTTTTGCAAACAGGTGTAGGATTACAACTTCCTCTCTCCCTATAGCAGTGACCTCTCTCCCTACAGATCAGCCCCTGCCACATGGGGACATAATATGCAGATCTTCCCATATAAAAGCATTCAGATCAAGATAAAATAGCATCACAGCCTTAAAAAAATGACAAGGCAACATAAAAATGACCCTTCCTGTACACAAAATACTTCAACAACAGCAATCTCGTATTTTCAAAACTATTACATGAAAAGGCAATATAATTCCTATTAAACTAAAGGATGGGGAAAAAAGGGAGAAATGCTCTCCATGGCCACTAGGTGTCACTAGCGTCAATGAAGTTGGTTAAAGAAAAATCATTTAAATCCGTCTTTAAAGTACTGGGTCTTCGGGAATCATCAATGCAATAAATAAAAATCAGTTCTGGATTTCTACCTCTTTAGGTTCCAAATCACTCTTTCACATGTCCAAAAGAAGCAATTCAGAGGAGAGATCTTTTACAACAGACTAATCATGTTGGGATACCTCAATATCCTCCGTGACCTTGCAAAGGATTCTGGAGCACCCTTTCCAGCTCAAATGCCACCCACAAAAAAAATCTTTTTTCTTTTTGGATGTTGGTTAACTTGACTGCTGAAGCACAGAAGATGCAAATACCCATACAACCGAGACTGCGACCAGACGTAAAGTGATTTACTGGACAATCCTGGATTACAAAGAGAAGCTGGAAGAGAATGCCCGAAGTCGGTGCAGCTATGGATCAGGACTGAAACCCAGAAATTAGATCAAAATAGGATGGAAACATAAAGGCAAGGAGGCAAGAAACCAACAGGAAGGCGGGCAGTTCAGGAGGCGACCAGACTGGCCTTGTGGCCCACAGATAGGCAGAGACCTATAAAAATGAGAGATGATCCAGACAGAATTCAAGCCTGGGAGTTTCCGAAGTAGAAATCCAACTCAGGCAGGAACCTTACTTGGGCTGAGAAAGGAAAGAACAACAGAGAAGAGAGGGATGAGAGCTCCATCATCAAGTCCATGCTGTGCGTGGCTTCCTGCTTAAGGAGGGGGTTGGACTAGAAGACCTTCAAGGCCCCTTCCAACCCCGTGATTCTATGTTCTATGTGCCTCCTTTCCTTCCTCAAGAAAGGCACTATTAGGGTGTCCTTCTGAAGCCCAGAAGAGCAAGTCCACCTTATGAGCCTCGATGAACCAATGGCCAAGGTGTTTTCTATAAGGTCCTGCTCAGAGCTTTGGGTCCAAGACAGGCAGACCTCCAGACTACACTAGCTCCTTCTTTATTCTTGAGCAAGCTGCCCCAAGCAGTGTCCTTCAATACACAAGAGGCTCCAAGCCGCTTCGGGCTTTGTGGAAGGTCCTTGGAAGGCACAGCCCCTTGTCCTTCAAAGCCTCTGCTTCCACACTTGTTTTCTCCACCTGTGGCCAAAGTCCTCTAGACAGGGCCAGGCTGCGGGCCCAACTCTGCTTACAGAATGAGCACACTGAGAATTCGGTTGTCCCAAAGGTGCTTTCCCAAAAGGCAATGGGGCTTTCTTCTTGTTTTTGCTTTGAAAACATTTCGCTCCTCATCCAAGAAACTTCTTCCGTTCTGAAGAACGGAAGAAGCTTCTTGGGTGAGAAGCGAAATGTTTTCAGAGAAAAAAAAACAAGGAAGACCAGCTGCCTTTTGGAAAAAGCATCCTTGGGACAACCGTGATCTGGATGATTGAGACAATCCACAGAGGAGAATTCGGTTTGTTCCCCGTTTGCCAAGACTTTGTCTCATCCTCACTTCCCCCAAAGCTGGCTCAGTCCTCTGGCGCCAGGACTCCGTGTCCAGTAAGTCACTCCTGCCCAGGCTGTCCTAAAACGTAGGAGTGAATCATCCTTTTCCTGCTGAAAAGTCCTGACTCTGAAACTCTTCAAGCAAACATTTGGT